ATGGATGTTGCAGTGTCTCTTTTAGCTTGACTCTTAAACATGCCTTCTTACAAATAGCTGATCTCATCTGTTTAAAATTTGGTGTGGCAGAAAGAAATTTTCACCTTTTCTTATTTACAGTGCCACATTTACCAAGTAACTGGCCAGTACCAATGAGGACTATCTCTCCTTTGTTGTGCCCTCCAATCTTATCTATTGTATAAAACATTTATTAGCAATTTTTCTCCCTAGGGGAACTCAAGGTGGTTTACAACATCAATAAAACAATCAAAAAACCCTGTAAGATTCACAATTTAAAATTTAAAATATGGCTTAGTTTTAGTGCCTGTTTCTGGAGCTGATAAAGAAAATTAGGCATATGTACCTTATATATGGTATAAGCCTCTAATGTAAAACACCTGCTTGAGGTCATGTTAATTTCCTGCTTGAATTGAATGTGATCTTTAGCTATTTGGAGCTCTTTTTCACTAATACTGAGTGACTTTTTTAAGCTTGAACGATTTGAACTATGTGGTTAGCCTGTTCTAGTAAGAGAGAGTTTAATTATTTATTTATTTACATACACATACATACACAGACCTTTATTGGCATATGTCAGGTTACAGAAACAGACAGAAACAGATAAAGAGGTAACAAGGAGAAATAAGTCAATCGTATGCAACTATGCATTGTGCAATCGATCCTTAATTACCAAACATAGAAATAAAGCTACCTTTTCAGTTATTTCAGGTGACGAATCATTGAGGAGATGGCACACCTTCAAAGCATTCGGGCAGCCTATCATGTTAAATAAAATTGGCTCTAAAACAACAATTAAAATAACAATTAAAACAGTAAAACCATAAAATCCCGTGCAAACAAGCTAGTTCTGATGTCAGTTTAGCAGTACTGATGTTAAGATCCAGGCCACTGAAGGGGAGATAGCCAGGAGGGAAAAGGGATATCTGCCGCCTCACCCAAAGGCCTGGCGGAAGAGCTTTGTCTTGCAGGCCCTGTGGAACTGTAATAGATCCCGCAGGGCCCTGATCTCGTATGGGAGCTCATTCCACCAGGTGGGGGCCAGGGTCGGAAAATCCCTGGCCCTGGTCAAGGCTAGTCAGATGTCCCTGGGTCCAGAGACTGCTAGAAGATGTTGATTCATAGACCTCAGTGTCCTCTGGGGCTCATATGGGGAGAGGCGGTCTCGAAGGTATGCTGGCCCTTGGCCATATAGGGCTTTAAAGGTAAGTACCAGCACCTTGAAACTGATCCGGAATTCAATAGGCATCCAGTGCAGTTCATGCAGCACTGTGTGGATGTGAGCCTGCATAGGCATCATTGTCAACACCCATGCTGCCACATTCTGCACTAACTGCAGCTTCTGGAGCAGGATCAAGGGCAGCCCCATGTAGAGAGAGTTACAATAGTCCGGTCTGGAAGTGACCATTGCATGGGTCACTGTAGCTAGGTCTCGTGGGGTGAGATAAGGGGCCAACTGCCTGATCTGCCTCTGATGAAAAAATTCAGACCTGGCAGTGGTGGTGACCTGGGCCTCCCTAGAAAGGGAGGCATCCAGGAGCACCCCCAGACTCTTCACCCTCGATTCTGGCATCAGTGGACCCCCATCGAACGTCGGGAGCCTGATTCCCTGACTCAGTCCTCCCCGGCTCAGGTACAGGACCTCCATCTTAGATGGATTTAGCTTCAGTCGGCTCTGTCGCAACCATCCAGCTGCAGCCTGTAATGCCCCGTCCAGATCACATGTCCAGGCAGCTGTCCATCAGTACATAGAGCTAGGTGTCATCTGCATACTGGTGACAACCCAGCCCATACCCTCGGATAATCTGGGTGAGGGGGGGTCATGTTGATATTCAACAACATGGGGGAGAGAATTTCTCCCTGTGGCACACTACATTCCAGCAGGTGCCTTTGAGATGTCAACCATATCAAACGCTGCTGATAGAGCAAGAAGAATCAGCAGCGCGGATCCACCTCAATCCAGATGTCTCTGAAGGTCATCTACAAGGGTGACCAGCACCATCTCAGTCCATCTCAGTCCCACTGGCAGGGCAAAAGTGGTGGGTTAACACCTCATGGTTAACCATATCAAACGTTGCTGATAGAGCAAGAAGAATCAGCAGCGTGGAGCCACCTCAATCCAGATGTCTCCAAAGGTCATCCACAAGGGCGACCAGCACCATCTCAGTCCCACTGGCAGGGCAAAAGCCGGACTGGAAGGGATCCAGGATCTTAGCCTCATCCAGGAAAACCTGAAGCTGTGATGCCGGTACCCTCTACCATCTTGCCCAGGAATGGTAGATTAGACACTGGGCGGTAGGTCCAACAAATGTTTTTTTAAGTAGAGGGCGAACTGCCGCCTCCTTCAATTCCCCTGGGAAGGTCCCTGTTGATAGGGACAAGTTGATAATCTCCCTCAGGGGGGTCCGCACCTCATCACCACAGGCTTTAACCAGCCATGGTGGGCAGGTATCCAGGAGGCATGTAGTAGGCCTCACAGCTACCAGGACCCTGTCGACTTCATCCTGGGAGAGCAAACTGAAGGGGTCCAAAACTGGACCTGAAGACAGCCAGTGGGCTTCCAGTTCGCTTATTATATCAATTGTGGCCAGGAGGTCGCAGCGGAGCAACAAGACTTTATCTGCAAAATAGCTCACAAATGCCTCACAGCTCGCAAATTCACTAGCATTTGGTGTGCTCTGTGGCAGAGTAGTCAATGACCGAATAGTTCTAAATAATTGGGCTGGGTGAGAGCTAGCAGACATAATGGAGGTCACGTAGAAGTTTCTCTTCGCAGCCTTCACTGCCATCTCAAAGGTTTTCATAAACGACCTATAGGATGCTCTTGTGGCTTCGTCACGAGCTCGCCACCACCCTCTCTCTAGTCGCCTTAGCTCTCATTTCATCCGCCGTAGCTCCAAGGTATACCATGGAGCTAGTTGGGTACGAGAGCGAAGAGGGCTCCAGGGAGTGGCCTCGTTGATGGCTTTGGAAAGACAGGAGTACCAATCTTCCACCAGTACATTCAATGGGCCGCCAAAGGGAATTGGATCTCGCAGAGCTTCCTGGAACCTATTATTAGAATCAACTGCATTGATGTCCAAACTGCCAGATGATTTAAAGCTACCAAGAGCAGAACTTGTATGTAAGCTGCTCTGAGACTCCTTCGGGTAGTGAAGGGCAGGGTATAAATCCAATCTCCTCCTCCTCCTCATCATCATCTTTTTCCAGATTGTCCAAAAAAATTATTTTGAAGATTACAGAACACAGCTTTTCTTCCAGCAGTGAGAATATTTAACAGGAAAGCAGGGTGGAGGGCCTTATGCAGCCTTTCCCCTTTAAGTCACAACCTCCGTAACTGGACTGTATAATTTTTTTTAAAAAAAGTATTAATATGGAATTATATGGAACACATAGTTCTGCCTTGAGACTCAAGATGTAAGAGTGATGCTAGCTACCTTATAGCTTGGAGGTGAAACCTCAAACACAGGGCCTAAGGAGGTAGAGCGGTATCCTGCTCATGGAAGAGGGTGGTGGTGAGAGGATGAGACTCCAAGGAATTATGGGATGCTTAGTTTTATACACAGATGAGAAATAACTAGCTAAATGTTTTGTTGTAAGCCTCTTGTTATCCTTTATGAAGTATATCACTTCATGCAGGTGTGTTTTTAAGATGTCATGAAAGAATTTATTTAACCTTTTTTCTTGCCTAAGATAATTAGATAACAATACACTGCAAGGCCTAGATGATAGACCTACTCTTTCTTTTTTGTAATAGCCCTCCATTTCTTTATAAACTTGCTCTTTGAGAGTTTAGGAAGAAAATTATATCTGTGTTGCAAACTGCATTTATTCCTCTTTAAAGGCAATTCTGTTATAATATTTGGTTGCGGTAATAGTCTTTCTAGAAGTGCACAAGTGTGCATAATAAAAGGATCAGAGAAGAGACAGGACTTGTGTGTGTGTGCTGAATAAGTTAAGGAACTATAGATGTTAAGACATACATTTGTGTCAGCCACTTGAAAAATAATTATGTCTTGAAAGCAGATGTTTGCAATATAAAAGTGGCGACTGGCTTTATTCCCTCAAACTATTGAATATAAGATTCCTGAATAAGAAGCTAACAACTGTTGTCGCTGGCCAGTCACTTTCAGGGGGATGTTTAGTATACAAAGCATGCCAGAATTTAAAGTCCTTCAGAAACATGACAAGCAGTGACTATGGGAGAAACAGCATAATTTATTAGGATATTTCTCATTATTTTTTCATGCTCATTAAGTGACAGAAAGGATTAACTTTCCTTATCCACTAATTGTATAGCAGTGCTGTACTCTCTTTGGGGAGTGTCGTCCAGTGTTAAACATAGATGGTTGGATCCTGTGCTCTGCTAACATCCTCTGGTGCTAGAAGAAGGTTTTTCTGTTAGTGGACCAGAGCACAGGATCTAGCCCAATAATTCTGTACCAATACTTATAGTTTGAGATTTGAATTACCAGAAAGGAGGATTACTGCACAGCTTGTTTGATGAAAGACTGTGTTGCAGTTTATAGGAATCAGAATGACATAAATGTTTTGCATCATAGTATTAACAGTAAGATATCGACTAGTTTATTAATATTACCCACAGATATTCCCCAGTAAAGCTTAATGCAACAATGAAGTCTGGTTGCTTCTTGTACCAGTTTGTGCTAAATTCTCTCATTCCTCCCTTTCCCATAGATTGAGTCTTTGCACACTGCATCAAAAAGTTTCCCACCAGTCTTTTGCATTGTTACTCCTGAGTCAGTTACTGACTGCAGTTCATACCTTTTCAAAATAGTACTTCATTTATTAAATGTTCTTGTAAATTCATAACATAGTGAACATTAAATGCATGCTTTGTACTTTTAATCCATATTGAGTCAACTGAAGGCAGTCATTTTGGTGTGATGAGTATACCTAACTTTCATTGGTTCATTTTTTGTTTTTTGTTTGTCCTTTCCCCCCTCTGTTTTGTTGCATAGCGAAGATGCAGGCAGTTAAGCAAATTCCCAAGCCGCAAATGGAAGTCTATAGTGACAGTACTAACCTGGTATGCCGCAATGGACATCTCCAGTCAGGTGGGTTTGGTTTTACCAGCACCTAATTAACTAAGGGGATGTCTATCAATATCTGATATATTATAGAGAATTCTTGCAGTGCTAAATTGCCTGCCCCTGATCTATTTAAAATGGTTTTCTATTTGAAGGTTAGTACATTCCATTTTTTTAATGTCTTAACATTGTTCTTGCTAAATTGTTTTCCTTACTGTATTTTTTAAGTTAGTTGCATTTTAAAATGAAATATTTGCAAAGGAAAGGCATTAATTTCTAGTAATTAAAGGCAATTTAAGTCAGCAGTTAACGATAGTCCTTATAGAATGTAGCATCAAGAAATAAGGTGATAGGTTCATAGGCTGTTATAAAGTGTAAGATGAATCTCTGTTGGTACTATTGAATACACAACTTAAACTATATTATCTGAAGACATGTTTCTTTACTTAATGTTTGGTACTAATTATTTTTACCTGAAAAGCTGCTATTTAGGTTTTTATAGATCTTTTACAAAGACTTTATATTCTAAGATTTTAATAAGCCTCACTTGAGAATGGTCATTTAGTTAAGTGTAATATGGGACAGTAATCGCTTGATAGAAACAGTTCCCTGTCTGCTTGGGCTGCAGAAGATTAATAGCTACCTTGCTAGAAGTATTCTGTATTTTTGGTAACTGCTGTTGATCAAAGTGTCTTAGGATGTATACAGGCAACCAAGGATCCCTTAGTGCAATATTGATACTAGCTCTGATCTGGTAGCAGTAGTTTGATAATACAAATGCAAAGAACAGGCAAGGCTTGCTACAGGAGAAAAGTGTGTTCTGTTAATTGCTGCTTTCTTTAGTCCAGTACAGTTTAAGGGAGCTGCTGAATTCACTTGGTTTTAGGTCATCAGCTTCTGGTCTAGTCAGTTTCAAAACTAAAAGAAAATGGCTTTTGAATGATAGAAAGGAACAACTGAGTTAATGACATAGTCTTGCAAAGTGTTCCCTTTTTAGAGGGCTGCATGGATATGTATGCAGTACAGTATGTGTGTGTGTATGCTTAACCTTCAAGTACTTAAAAATGTATTGAGAATGCCAGTTTAGAGCCAGTGTGGTGTAATGGTTAGAATGTCAGCCTAGTTCTAGGGAGATACATATTCCTCTCTTTGCATTGAAGGCCACTGGTGACCCTCTGCCAGTCCCCCTCTCTCTCTCAACAACTTTTATCTTGTAAGGATAAAAAAGGTGAAAAAGGTGAAAGGAACGCAGTGTATGCCACCCTGCACTCCTTATCAGGGAGGGATGGCATAACAATGCAATGTATAGATTCTTTGTTTAAAGCTTTGATACCACCTTTCCACCAATCATGTGCAAGGTGATGTGCAAAAATAAAAATTACTACTATTTCATATTCGTGTTGCTTATGATACAGGAACTGTTTAACTGGTGTCTTTCAAAATCATACAAGCAGAAACTGCAACTATACTCATAGCTTATCCAGTTGGTGGCGTGTGGATCACTTGTAATTCCCCCCTGGGGCATTCAAGACTCAGTGTGAAAGAAATGTGTCTCTGGTGATTAAAAGCATGCACGTTCTAGTAATTGAAATTAATACTAAGAGCTATTGCTTCAACAGCCTGGTGTCCTCAACCACAAAGTGCCTGAACTTGAGCACTAAAACATTCTCCCCTTAAAGGTAACCAGTCTCCAGTTAGCTGTTGCAAAATCTTTCTGGCATCTCCACCTTTCCTCTTTTCATTTTCTTCAGCAGTTAGAAGGTGGTAGCTAGTTTATAGAAAGTACAGCCTTTGGTCTACTTCAGTAAATACCCCACATTCACCTTCTGTTCAGCCAGTGAATCTTTCCCATGTGTGTTTTTGTGTATGCACAATATGTGTACCCCATGTTTGAAAATACATTTTATATAAAAAGTTTCTTCAGAAGAATGGACTATATCCTTGGGGTATTTGCAGGTTTTCACGGTGGGATAAATTTGGGCACTGGTATATGTCCACAATAGATTCTAATAATACTTCAGAAACTTTTTAAAATTGAAATTGTATGCTTAATTTAGGAAAGGTCTCGCGTTCCTTCCTTGCCCCAAGTGATGCAAAAATCTATAGGTATTAGAAATCCCTATATGAGAAAAGGGCAGAGGAGGGCTGGCTAATGGGGAAAATTTGTCTAGTTTACTTTTTTGCAAAACCTAAGGTAAATTGATAAAGAATGTAGAAAGCTTAGTGTTGCTTTTGCTAGTTTATCCTGAGAGCTTCCTGTTCCTGCTGCTGCTTCTCAGTTATATGTAATAAACTTTATATAGGGAATGGCCAGATGAAGATGAAGCAGCTTGCTTGCTGAGAAGCTTTGGTTGCTAGGAAGATGGGAAGATAGTAGAGTGAGTGATGGGTGATGGAGAATGACAGTTGCATGGTTGGGGGAATGAATGGAGAAAAAAAGATCCTGCAGGGGAGACGGCTCCCCTTGATTTTTCTGTGAAGGGGTTGAAGAGATGCACTTCCACACCCCAGACGCCTGGACTGTGCAGCCAAAAACTGCAGTTCTGTGAACTGAGTAACAGTCCAGTAGTGCAAAGTTAACAGGGAAGTTGAGAGACTGGAAACAAAGAAATCATTGGGAGGTGGCAAACAGTAGTGCATGAGCAGCAGATGAAATTAAAAAGTAGCAGTCAAGAAAAATTTCAGTGACAGCAGCACTGCCAACTTGAAATGAAAGTGCATTAAGACTGATCAACTCCACTGTGGGTGTGACTAAAAGTTCAGGTTTTGACAAGATTTTGTGTATAATTGTGTAACTAATCATCTTAAATATTGAATTGCTAGATTGGTTGAAATTTGGTTTATCCCTTTATCCCAGTTTGGTGTAGTGGTTAAGTGTTTGTACATTGCATTCGTGAAAAGGGTTGGAACACTTTCCCTATGAGGAACGGTTAAGGCGCTTAGGGCTCTTTAGCTTGGAGAAACGACGACTGAGGGGTGACATGATTGAGGTTTATAAGATTATGCATGGGAAAGAGCAGGTAGAGAAAGAGGTACTTTTCTCCCTTTCTCACAATACAAGAACCCGTGGGCACTCCATGAAATTGCTGAGCGGTCGGGTTAGAACGGATAAGAGGAAGTACTTCTTCACCCAAAGAGTGATTAACACTTGGAATTCACTGCCACAGGAAGTGGTGGTGGCTACAAGCATGGACGGCTTCAAAAGGGAATTAGATAAGCATATGGAGCAGAGGTCCATCAGTGGCTATTAGCCACAAGGTATAGATAGGGACTCTGGGGCAAGTGATGCTCTGTCATCTTGGTGCTTGGGGGGGTCAACAGTGGGAGGGCTTCTAATGTCCTGGCCCCACTGGTGGACCTCCTGATGGCACTGGTATTTCTGGCCACTGTGTGATACAGAGTGTTGGACTGGATGGGCCTTTGGCCTGATCCAACATTGGCATCTCTTATGTTCTTATGTTCTTATGTACTTTCTTCCTTTCTGGCAGGTCCACTGCTGATTTGGGAATGGTTTAAGCTAGCTTGATATAGCGGTTAGAGTGAACTAGGATCTGGGAGACCAGTCCCCATTCTGCACAATCTTATATTTCCTCTTAAATCTGGGTGAAAATAAGGGAGGCTGTGTAGTTTGACTGCCAAGCACATTTCTTTCCTTAAATTACAGCATCTACACATTTTCACAGCATGCAATAAATAAGCAAGAAAAAGCTTTTCCTTTTTACATAATTGATTTGTGTTTTCTTCAGATTTCATGTGCAACAGTTACATTTACTGCCGTAATACCAATTTTTGTCAAATGCTGTTTTGTGTATTTAGCATGTATCATTAACTCAGGCCCCGGTCACACGGGCAGGAAACTGCAGAGGAGAAGCGTGGCTGTTTGCCCTGGGGCAAACTACTGCGCAGTTAAGTGATCAGACCTCCTGTGGAGGTCCTGTGGAGGTACCGTGGAGGTTCCATGGCAAGGGAGAGGTGCCGATCACAGGACAAGCCGGCGCACAACGAAGAAGCGCGCGCTGCAGCAAACTTTTTTATTTTTGTGTACATGGCAAATGCGCATGCTCCGTTGGGTGCGCATGCGCATCCACAGAGACTTGGACAAAAAAAACCACCTTATTTGCAAGGGGACATGGGCGGGCGCCGGATGCCACCGGAAACGCGATCAGACGCCCGCCCTTGCCCCGCAGTTTCCGGAAACTAGTACCTCCAAGGTACTAGTTTTTTGCCACGCAGTTTCGGCTGGAAGCCTCGGTTGAGCCACGGGAGTGCTACGCTTCCCAGATGTGCTGGTGAGATCGCGCCCGGAAACTCCGGCTGTTTTCCGTCTCACTTGTGTGGCTTCTGTTACGTGTGACCGCAGCCTCAGTTAAGAATTTCCACTTTATGTACATGTGAAACATTTGAACATAGTTTTGCGGGTGCAACATAATTTCAAAGCAAGCTTATGCTAAATACTTTAAATGCTGCTGATGGGAATCAGCAGTATTGTCCTCCATTATTGTGGCTGAAGAAGCCACAAGGAATATACTGGCTTTGTTGTTCAGGCTTGAGTCACGTCAGAGGGGGATTGTGTATAAGTGAGAAGAGTGGTCCTGATGGTTTGAGAAATAGTTGGATTTTTAAGGGTTTCCTTGGTAACTGAAACTAGAAAAAACTGAACTATGATTAGAAGATAACAAAGTATAATTGTTTATATCCCTTAAAGGGTAAAATTTCTGAATTGTGTTAAGTGAGAAGGCACAAGACTGAGTGCTCTTAAAATGTTGCTGCATATTTAAACACTCTAATTGTGGAGTGAACTAGATCCCCATGGTTGTCCTTTTTTGGCAGAGTGCATAGAAAAGTGGCTGTACAGCTTTGTCCCCGAAGCATGGCCAGTTATGACTTCAGTTTTTGTACGCAAAACACCCAGGGTAGAAAACCACCCAAGTCATTTTTCCATGGATATAGGCTTTTTTACCCTATATTACAGTAAAAGGGGTAGAAAAATGTTAGAAATTCTTTTAAAATTCAGAGAAGTTTGTTAGCTGTCTAATTTCTTGGGTTCCAAACATTTTTTGATTAATTTTTTTTAAAACTATAGTATTAGAAAGAATCCGTGCTGGTGTGTGGTGTTCAATATGTGCAAGGCAAAGGGAGTAATCTACCTAAAAAAAATTTTTGCCTCATGCCACAATGTGCATTCAGGCTTTCCATATTTTAGGAACAGGTTGACTTCTGCCACCACAAATATTTCTATTTCTGAAGGAATTTTTCTACCCAAAGATACACTAGAATTTGACTTGGGTAGAAGTTTATTTCAAATGCAATATGTGTATTTTACTTCAGAGTTCCGTTAGAGGTTAGCTGAATTTCCTTGAACAATGTAATACTATTTAGGCAGCATAAAAAAAGCAGTGCTGTCACCGAATCAGAATATTCCTTCAGTATTTCTGTGATAGAAATGTAAAAACTCCAGTAGCACTTTTAAGACTGACAAACTTTATTGTAGCATAAGCTTTTGAGAAACACAGCTCTCTGTCAGATGATATAAATGGTTACATTGTGGTTAGCATTGCAATACTAACATTGCAATACTTGCTAGAAGTGTATGGTTAGGTGTAAGTTGTGTTTGTCCAGTTGACATTTTGTCTGCCTCTTCATGTTCTAAAAATTCAGTACTGATTGGATGCTGTGGAGATTATTGGTCAACTAGTGTCTTAACTCAAGCTACGGTAATGGCTAAAAATGTGAGGTATGAATTAAAACATTTCCAGTTGAAATTTTGCATCTGCTTTGAACTCACTAGGTGGTCTTAGGGTCTGGTCTGCTAGGTGGGGATAATACTGAACTATCTTACAGGGCTTTTGACAGATTCCCAACGAAGTATGTGTATGAACACTCTGAAGAACTAATTAATTCTAAGTGCTATCATTGCACAATAATACTGAAGAGTGAATTACGGTGATGTGTACCATGAGGATGACTTTCTCACAAGAGAATTATCAGCTGAATAAGTTACTAGCAATAGTATTAATTGTTTAGTTGGCATCTATGCCTTGTGGTTCTTAACCATCAGTTTGTAATAGAAAAATGTACACAACTATAGGGCTTAATCTCAGTAGATGCTGATCAGAAATTGTGTTAATTGCTAAGGCTAATTAGTTTTTACCAATATTGCAGGTAGAAAACAAATATTCTGAGAATTTGACTAGCAAGAAAAATATCTTGCATGGGTAGTATTTGTATAAATGGGTACATTCAAAAGACATTGTCTGAGACATTATGCTTGCTGAAGATACCACTTCTTTTCAGACTAAGATGCTGCTAGCTGTTTGGTATATCTTATAGTGACACATTTTTTATTTTTTTGCAGAAAGTGGAGCTGTTCCAAAAAAGAAGGATCCACTGACTCAAACTAGTAACTCCCTCCCTCGTTCAAAGTCTGTGGCAAAGCCTGGAGCTGTGGGCCTTTCAGGGCACCAAAGGACACCTAGTTATAGTGGAATATCCAATTTCCCTGTGCCTAGACAGGGACCAGCTCCAGCAACTTCAACTCAGAAGGTAAGGAAGCAGTCTCCAGACACACCATAGTGAGTACTTGCTGCTAGTTTTGAGTTGAAAAGTTGCAATTCAGATTTGAGGAACTGTTTGATATCTTCCTGTTAAAGCTCAAAGGCTTTCAGTGTGAAGTATTTCTTGAGGGCACTGATGCGTCTATTATTCTAGCTTGGTAACTGGCAAAACGGAACCCGTCTGATCTTCTCAGTTAAATTGCTGCTGAGAATGTGGTAGTGGGGGCTAGTTTCAGTGATATTACATATACTTGCTGACAGCTGCTCACATCTTGAAGCCCTTTGTTTAAGATTTTTCTCAATTCATCTTAAAATGTGGATATAGACTGTAGCAAGACAGTAGATATATATATGTTTGTATTGGAGGTGTAGATACCAGTCTAGCGGCGCCTGACCTCCATTGTTAATAGTATAATTCTTCTCTGTAACTTAATTTCACTTCTCTTAACTTACACATTTTTAATTAACTGCAAAAATAACAAATCCTGGTAGGAGATCTCAGGAATTCTGGACTTGCTACAATCTTTTGTGATAATTGAGACATACTCTTCCAAATGTTTCCTAACTCAGTTACTAGACCTACCAGAGTCTTGTTACCAATCACATACTCTTCAACATGATTAGTGGCATGAATGGAAGGTGCTTCTGGTGGTGAGTTTTCCCCTGCCTTCCTTTTCCTACAGCAGCTCTCTGGCTACGGAGATCCCTCAAGCCCAGTTTCAAAAAGTTATCAAACACAGGAATAGACCATTTTCTTGCTTCATTGGACAGCTTGGCATAATAAGTGTGGCAGATCAAGACTAAAAGGGGGCACTTTGACTGACTCTTCCCTTCTCACCCTGGAGGGATGTTGTGTTTGTGGGGAGTTTTCTTCATGGGGGTCCCATGACCTCAGCAATGCCTTTTGTGAGTTTCCGGGGACTGCTGTGGGAATGGAAAGGCCATGGATGATTACTCACCATTCCATTCACGCCTTCTGTTCAAACAGCCACAGGATCCAAGTTAGAAAGTTTTTCAAAACATTCCCCACAGCAGCTGTAAATTGCTGTAGATAAAGGGGCACATCTCCAGTTTGATTAATATTGGGGAAGGAAATTCACTTACTCTAATAGGATGGTGTGTCATGTCCTGGCACTATTGTGTTGAATTCAGATTACTTTGGTTATCAGCCAGAACTGCAATATTGACTGCTGCAGCTGATGATGCAGTGTGCAAATCCAAATAGCTGTTTGTGAGGACCCTTATATCCAAGGAGAAGCTCCCACAATTAACATGATACTTGTTCAATCCCTGTTGACATAAATTTATTACAATAATAGTACTTCAACTATTACTCTTTGATAAATGTACATTACAAAACCTGAAGCAGCTGTTTGATCACATCAACATCATTCATCCCTGACTTCCCGTTTTGGCGACTCAAGAACGGATGCGTCCTATCGAGCTCCAATAGGTGCGATCCAGATCGTAGCAGACGGGAAGGAGACAGGCTGATTCCCCCCCCCCCCCGGGCCCTGTTAGGGGGGTTCTAGGCAGCCTGGGGTGCGAGAGGTGCCGCTCCCAAGGCGTAAGCCAAGGGATTGAGGCTCCTCTTTGCCCCGAGAGGTCCCACCACTGCGAGACCAGTAATTGTGTCAGAGGTGTACACTGGGATGAGCGAACAAGCAATCTAGCGTTTGAAGGCTTCCCTACCTTCTCCAAGCAAGCTACCGATGAAGCGTGAGTTCTTGCGGCCTTAAATCAGGCAAACTTTCAAGCGGGTGATCTCCCCCCAAAACTTCAAAGCTAAAAGCGGAGGGAGTGGAGCTGGTCTCACCCTGGGACAGAAAAAAGCGGTTTTAAGAGGTAGAGGGGGGGAAGCCATTTAAAAAACATTATATAGCCCAAATAGAGTGGAGAATGGAATAACAGCGAGATTTAGTAAACTTTCAGAGACTTCATTGAACTTGTTCCTAAAGTAAACAATCCTACAGTGGGCTGAAAAATGGCACTGAAAGTAAGACCTTCTTCCAGAACTGCCAGCTCAGCAGCATCAGCTTCCAAGTCGGAAGCAACCATAGACTTCCCTAATATGTTGGCTACTGCATTGTGCCCTCTACTGGATCAGATGACTCAGCTCAATAATAACTCTGAATCTCTCCAAAAACAGCTGAAAGAAACCAATGCAAAAGCAGGAAAAACAGCTAAATTGTTGACAAAAGTTGATGATGAGACAAAAGCGTTGAAGCAGAGACTGGAGGCAGTGGAAAAAGCGAAAGACTCTGAGAAACAACAATTATTATTACTCCAAATGGAAAAAATCTTCATATATCCTGAGATTTCAGGGTATTCTGGAGCAAAAAGGTGAAAATCTCAAGGAGACTTTAAGTGAATTGTTGGCACCGGCAGTAGATCTCAAAGCGGAGTTTTTACAAAGCGAGATGGATGTGGTCTATCGGTCATATCTGGACTATATCAAGGAAAACAATCTGCCTGGCGAAATATTTGTGAAATTCTCCAAGAGATCTATTAGAGAGGCAATTTTTAAAGTGACTAATGGAATTACTCTAAAAATCAAAGAAGATACAAGAATTTTGAAAGACATTCAATTTGAGATAAGAAAGAGGAGACAACATTATAAAAAACTGACAACTTTTTTGCAGAAAAATTCCACTTCCTACCAATGAACGATACCTTTATATGAGGTTGCTCGTGTAAATTTTAGTGTTTTCCATGGAATATTCTTTAAGGAGAATAAAGAAAAGATAGACTCTGTTGCAAAAGCTAAAGCATTTCTGGAGAAACATCAAAAAACTGAGAAAGTGGAAGACGACAACGCAGAGACAGACAGTAGTGAAAACAGATCGTGAAATTCTACCAGCTCATCGAACAGTTTCTCAGAAGGATCAGAATCTGATATGGGAGCAGCTGCCTCCAATCTTCTGAAAGTCCGCTGGGACTATGATAAGAGTAAAGGGAAAAAGAAACATGGACGATGAAAGGTTTATACTACTAAACGTAAAATACCATAACCCACCTATTTTGGCTAATATTGTTCATACTGATTTATTTTTGAAATAGATAATCTCACCCTTCATCTTGATTGAGTGAAATGGAAGAAAACCTTGAAACAAGCTTTTGTATCGTATTAGATCCTTGTTTAGCTTTGTATTCTTAGTTTAGCTTTGTATCCCTATTCCTGTAGTTTGTAGTGAAAAAGCAATTAAAAATTATATCTATAAAAATCACTCATCCCCACCCTAGTAAACCTTCTGGGGCTGAGCTTTCAGAGTGTTGGTTGTAGCTGTGCTAGACAATTTTAGACTGCAGCCATAATATTAAGTGCTAAATGGTATACTCTGCATGGGCAGTGGGGCTTCTAAAGTATACCTGCCACTGCTTGATAAGCCACTCATAAAAATGAAGGGACCTCTTCAAAACTGGCCTGTGATGGTGGGTGAGTGAGATGCCCAACCACAGCTTTTCATACAACATGTTTGGGATGAATGCCTTAGACCTTTTTAATTCATTCAGTGAATAGCTTTATTGTTGTTGAGCGGCTGCATGGTATAATGGTTAATATGTCAAGCTAGGATCTGGAAGACCCAGGTTCAAATCTCCAATCTGCCATGGAAGCTTGCTGGATGATCTTGGGCCTGTCAGTCTCTCCCAGCCTAACCCACTTCACAGGGTTGTTGTGAGGATGAAATTAATGAGAGAAGAACATTGTAAGCTGCATTGGGTTTCCATTGCAGAAAATGGTGGGGTATAAATGAAGTAAATAAAATGAATAAAAACAAAGGGTAAGAATGGCAGAAGAGCAAGTTTAGAAGACAAAAGGAATTTCAGATTCTAGCCACAATAAATGGTCAGTGTTTGTAACAAAGGCAACAAATGGATTTTCTTAAGCTAATGTCTAACACATCCAAGAGAGCAACCTAGTCTCCTTCCTGAGCTAATTGCAAAGACAAAAACTCATCTCCTGAGTCTTAACACATCTGTAAGCAAACAGTCAATCTGTAAGCAAACAGTTAATCAAGGTATCAACACAACTCAGGTCACAGTTAACTATGTGCCCAAACAAATATTGGCAAAGGAAATGAGTTAGTTGAATCCTGAAAAAACAAAGATAATTTCACGCTACTATCATAAAATTTACTCCACTATCAACCCCCCCCCCCCCAAATGGGACTTTAAGTTATAAAGTTTTG